AACACAGTATAGATGTAGAGGAAAGAATTGACTTGAAAACTGAAGAGTTTAGCATTGGACTCACAACACTCCTAATATTTATAGACACTAATCAAACAACTTTTGAACATCCTCAAATTATGATTTAATTTTCAGTTTCATAAATATTGTGGCTCATTAGACTAATTTATTTTGGTGGTTTCTGAATGTTGCATTTGAAGGCAATAAAAAAAATCAATTTTTATTTTTAATAGCTTGAAATAGTGTTTAATATTATTGATGGAAAATACTTATTTCTTTTGAAATACTGATATATTTTAAAAATATCCAACGAATTTGTTGGTCGTCTGATCCTTTTCTATTTTTTCAAGAGACATGAAACTTCAAATGAATATATTCACGTTTTTATCATTCGGTATTTTACTTGTTCTTATTTGAGGTATACTTGGGATCCAATTGGAAGAAATATCTTCTTATGTTCGTCCATATGGGTAGAACCTTTTTTTTTTTTAAGGATTTATAAAGGGTAATCAATATTTTTTTAATATGACAACCAAGAATTGAATTCATGCATTTTTATTTTTGAGCGAGCTTTTATGACGGTTAAAGAATCTTGAAAAAATTAATTTTTTAGTCCTCTAATTTTTAAGTCACTTATAACTTAGTCCCTCAATTATAACCCCTATGACTTAGTCCTTCAACTTTTGAATGATTTACAAATTAGTCCCTTAATTTTTGTTAATTTTTTTTCATGTTAGCTTATATTTCACATCAATGAGCAAGAGGAGGGTATTTTAAAATAATATATGAGCATTTTTTTATTCCTCTTATTTGATAAGAATTTTTTTTAAAAAAATTAAAAAATAAGGATCGAGTTATAGGTGAATCAAAAGTAGAGAGATTGAGTCGCAGCGAGTCATAGTTAAGGGATTGAGTTATAATTGAGTTAAAAGTTGAAGAATTAAAAGATTTTTTTTCAAAAATCTTTATTTATATATGTATATATATGAAGTCACAATATAAAGTCTTTCTCTAACACTTGTAATGTTAAAGATATAGTCGAACATTAAATGTTAGCGTCTCTTTTATTAGAAATTCAAACTTTTGTTTGTTTTGCTGTGAAGAGCCAACTCCCTTGGAAGTAGACTCAACAATTGTAATGAAATATAAAATATTTATAAATAAAAATTACAAATAAAAACTAAGTTTTAAGAACATTATCCAAAAGAAAGTGATTATAAAAATTACAAGACAGAAACAGGAAAAATAAAATGACAGTAACGTTATATTAGACATAATAAATATGAGTAATATTATTTATTTTAATAAAAATTTAAATTTTTATTTTTAAAAATAATATAATTAAAAAAATTAAGAATAATGAAGTTTTTAGTCTACCAAATTCGCCTCAATTATCAATTTGATCCATCAAATTTAATTTTATGTATTTGGTCAATACTATTAAAATTTACAATAATAACATATTAATATCAATTATGTAGATTAATAAATAAAAGTATTTTTATGTTAGGAAAAATGGATTCACGGATTTTAAAAACAAACAAAACAAAACGTAAGGTCTATATTGATAAAAAAATTAAATTGATTTGAGGGTCATTTTATTGCTATTTAACTATATATATTTGTCAGGTTATCTAATATATTTCACATATTAGATTAATTTGGAGGTCAATTCATGGTTTAAAACTTAAAATTAAAGGACTAACATGATAATATAAAATACAAGGTATTAACTTGATAAAAAAATAAATTTAAGGAGCTAATAAATTGATAACTAAATCAACTTCAAGGAATTGAAAGTTTTATTATTAAAAGAAATTAATTTTTGAAGTAGAAATAAAGTAATAATTTTTGACACAGGCTAATCCCATAATTTAATCGGCCACGTGAGTAGGAGTTTCTTAGTGCTATTTATCCTTCTCCCTTACTGGATGTTATTTTTTTTAATACTGTTGATTCCATTGTATCTACACTGTTGCCTTATTGTGTTTATAACTTCATATACATACATCTGCGCGCGGGCGCGGGTACCTTGTATAAAAGACAAGACAAGAGAGAAGATATATTGATTTGGGCTCATGAATTCGAAAAATCTATACCCGAACATGACTTTTTCCCCAGGTAATTTTTTTTTTTGGCTGAAATTTTTCCCAGGTAATTTATATCCCAAATATAAATGGAATCACTCTGATTTCTGAGAAAAAAAAGTTAACACTTGTAGTTTTGGGGTTAAATCTACCAATTCATTTTATTTTCAAAAATCTGAAAGGAACTAGTTTTATTATATTATTCGCCCAATACAAGTTAAAATTTATTGAGATGCTTGGTGAAAAATGGTAAAATACTAAATTCATTTGTTTATACCTTTTATCCTTGTGCTGGAAATAAAATCTCTCTCTCTCTCTCTTTCGCTCTAAAAGAGTTAGAAGTAGAATCTCAATATAACAGGATGTGTAATTTTCAATATTTATGCAGGCTGGATTAAGATGGGGCTTCTAAAATTCAAAATTATCATATTTGTGAAGCTAACATTTGTTTTTTTATTAATATTTAATTAATATCAATACTGTAGACCAATAACATTACAATTATAGCCGCCAAAAAAATATATTACTGTTATAAAAACAATGATTTTACTAATTTCGAAGTACATCATTTTTTATAATATTTTATTTTATGGAAAAATGTTAAATTTTAATAATTAAAATTAAGGATTTTCACTGTGGAGTGGAAAATTCAAATGAATCTTTATTTTTTGGCCAACAAAATTCAAAGAATCTCATACCATATTACATATCTTACATAATTAAGTGATAGAAAAATGAACAATGATCTTCACTTTTATCCGAGGTCTATATTTTTATTTTTCTTGTTACTTAAACCAAATTTTTATAAAGATAAAATATTTCTTAAAGATGATTCTAATTAGTTTGTTTACTAAATATTTCAAAATTTCTTTGGAAAGAGCGAAAAAAAGAACAAATAAAAGAAAAGGAATCCTCTCTGTTTTCCAAGAGAGACAAATCTATTTCTTGGATCATGAATAAAAAAATATATATTCATCTCAACTAAATTTATAATCTAATTAGAGATAGGGATCGAATTCTAATTACTTACGTCAGTATAACCGTCTAAGAGCCCTTGCCACTCATATATAGGATATGTTTAAAAGTATTCATGCACATTATTGTCTTTTTCATAGGAAGAAGAGATAAAATAATTAAAACATGACTAATATAAAAAACAACGAATTAATATTAATTTGAAATAAAATAATCTACAGCAAGAAATATAATTAACTTATTGAAAAACACCACTCAAGATCTCTAGACTTTAATTACCTGTCGTTTTAATTCCTGTATAGTTTATATTCATGATTTCTTATCCTTTTGTTTACTGTTCTTGAAACGATAGCTCTTTTATTTTTAAAAAAAATAATAAGAAGCGCCATGAGTTGGCTCAAAATTGCGTTAATTTTGTTGAAATACAATGCTATGATGCCATTCTTCACCCCACTCGCACGTAGTTGTTTGAGAGAGTGATATTCTTTTTTCTTTCTTTCTATTTTTTAATTAGACCAGAGTTTTTTTCAGTAAATTTTATAATTGTCGCCCCCACCCCAAATGAACATGTTTTTTCTAGTCATGTAATGAGTTTAACGATGTCAAGTTTACCTCAACAAACTTAATACAGTTTAAGATATCTCATATTCATTTCGTGTATTTTTCAAAGAATTATTAAGTAAATAAAACCCTTAATTATTATTCAAAAATTATTTTGAATCTTAAACTCTTAAAATATATAAAATAAATTTTAAATTTTTAAATTCATAATAAAATAAACCCTGGCTATTAACTTTTTAACACCGTTATTGTCCACGCAGGTATTATTCAGGATTTATTTTCCTACGAATTTAACTTTGACTGTTATAATATTTACGTGGATACTAACGGTGTTAAAAAAATTAATGACTAGGGTTTATTTTGTTATGAATATAAAAGTTTAAAGTTTATTTTATATATTTTAAAAATTTAGAATTTAAGATGATTTTTGAGTAAGAGTTCAAGATTTTATTTGTCCATTAATACTTTTCCAAAATACAGGGATTGCCATGTTAAAAGAGATGGAAAATCACAAAAATAAGCCATAAGAACTTAAAAAAAAAAACACTGTTGAATATAGGGACATGAAGTGCTCTTTTTCCTATGTTATCAATCAATTTTCATATGAAATACACTCATATCTCTCAATATAAAATTAGTAGAAAATCGTAACATAAATAATGCATATAATGAATGAAAAAAACATGTTTATTTGTTTTTTTTTTAAACCAAAACATGAATGAAATGTGTTGTTGATATCAAAACCAAAACCAATGCACAAAGCGAGATTCGTTCTGTTACCATTTGTGTTCAATGTGTACTTTTACTACATTCTTTAAATTCTTTGTTTTCCTTGTTAGAAAAAGATAAGCAACAACTTAGTTGGCTAGAGATCGCAAGCACTGAGTCATCTCCAGAATGGTCCCGATCCTCCAAAAAAGAAAAAACCGTTTTTTGTTTAGAGTGGCTCGAGGGATAAAATTAAATTAATTTATTTAAAGTTTTGAATTTGAATTTGGGTCATAAAATAAACAATCACATTCAATAAAAATATTAAAGGCATTTCAAGATATCATAGGTTGTTGTTAATAAGATCAGTTCTAGACAATAGACAATCATGTATTAGTCTGGTGGTTCATAATAAGAAATTAAAGGGATTTTTTTTTTTTCACAAACAGGAAAAAAATAACACTAATTTACTTCCGAAATATATTTGTTCAGTATTTTCTTTTTTACTGTGAAGGAAAATCCAATTATGTGGTTTCCGTGAATGGGTTTGTCCAGCCAGTGACTGCCATTTCTGTCGCATTTTACAGTAACGCAATCCAACCAAAAGCGATACCCTTTTCATTTTTCTTTATCTGTCCGTCCTTTTTTTCATTTTGCGTATTATAAATGGAAAAATCAATCCCTGGAAGCCACGAAGTGAGAATTTCTTGTCATTGAAGGTACCCCTCTTTTGTTGCTTGACCCTCAATCAAAGACCCATCTTTTCCGTTTTGCTTCGGCAACTTCACCAGAAGCCCTAATCTCCATACCCACCTTCTTCTTCTTCATCCTCAGTCTTTACCTCCTTATGGGTCGCGAGACGTTGCCAGTTCCAGCTGCACCAGCCCCAGTAGTGACAACACCGAATCCAACGACACCAGTAGTAGCACCCCAAGCTCCTCCTACATCACTTGCTCCTGGGTTTCGCTTTCACCCAACTGATGAGGAACTCGTTATTTACTACCTTAAGCGCAAAGTTTGTGGAAAAACTTTCCGATTTGATGCAATCTCTGAAGTCGACATTTACAGAAGCGAGCCTTGGGACCTAGCAGGTCACTCTCTTTTTCTCCCCCGAAATATTTTACCTTTGCATTTTTTGTGTATGTAAAAAAGACTGATGAGTTTTGCTTTCCTTTTTTCTCCATTCTAAAGCATTTTTTTGTTTCTTCTTTCGCATTGGGGTTTGACGCTGTAATGCTGGATTTTCTCGAAATGGGTGTTCTTGTTTATGTGGAAATTTCGTGGGTTCACGTTCCTTTTTCCTCATACATTTCTGGGTATTTGTTGTTTTTGCCCTCTTATTTTTTATCCTGGTGGTGGTGGGACGAATGGCTGTTTCAGATAAGTCAAGGTTGAAGACGAGGGACCAGGAATGGTATTTTTTTAGTGCATTGGATAAGAAATACGGTAATGGAGGGAGAATGAACAGGGCTACTAGCAAAGGATACTGGAAAGCCACTGGGAATGACCGTCCAGTGAGGCATGAACAAAGGACTGTGGGGCTGAAAAAAACTTTGGTATTTCATAGTGGGAGGGCTCCAGATGGTAAGCGTACCAATTGGGTTATGCATGAGTACAGGCTTGTTGATGAAGAGCTGGAAAGAGCTGGAATTGGGTCCACCCAGGTGAGATCATAGTTAAATTTACTTAATGTTGTTGTCCCGAGAATAAAAATGTAGAAAATGAAGCTTGAGATGAGAGCTTAAACTGCTTAAATTATGCCCTCCTTTTCCTTAGTAGCTGGAAAGGGGTCTCCTCATTTGAACCAATTATTTCATTTTGGTAAAATAAGGAGCTTAGTGTTTGGGTTCCCTAACTGTGGAACTCTTGGATGCAGAAGTTTGAAGTTATTTCTTATTCAGTTATCTTCCGAGCAAGCAGCACTGTATTGTTTTGTTTCGGAAAATATGGTGCATGGACGTTGTTATTATATCTCAATCATAGTTTCACCTCTTGTTTTTAACTCATTTCTCTGCTGGGTGGAAAAGGATGCATACGTTTTGTGTAGAGTATTTCACAAAAATAACATAGGACCTCCAAATGGTCAACGTTATGCACCTTTCATTGAGGAAGAATGGGATGATTCATCAGCACTGATTCCAGGGGCAGAGCCTGTTAATGAAGCTACAGCCATCCGTCGTCCACTCATTGAAGGCAATGGTCATGTTGGCTGTTTTGAAGGAACTAATGGTGTCCAGGTTTGTTCTTTCCCAGAAAATTATCCAATCTAGTGTAGTTGTATAACTTGGGGAGTACATTTTGCCTCAGATGCAGTAAGGTTTCAATTAAAAGATTGGCCCTAAAAAAACCTTAAAATATAACGGTTTAAAGTTGTATTTTAGAGTTTATGCACTAATTTTGTAATTAGGTTTAAGTTTCTGGTTGAAAATGCAGCTTTCTTTAAACTTTGTGTGGAGCTGTGGATATTAGATGGTAATGTTTACACATGCTTACAAAGTAACTAATTTATTGGTTGCTTGAATTTATCAAATCACTTTCTGTGGTTTTGTCAGAGAATGATAGATAACATGAAATATGCAGAAAAGTCATGCTTCAACTGACAACTTGAGTAGACAGAATATTCGCTGGGATATCTGTTGCCACCTGTGGTTTTGTGTTTGCAATATTTCCCGTTTATAGGCTTGCTATGTGTGTGTGTGTGTTTGTCTTCGTAGCAAATAATACTATGTGCTCTATACCCCTTTCACGAGACCAAGAACATGTGAGGTAAAGATGAATTAACATGTCCTAATTAACAAAATAAAGTAGTAGTTATTTATTTATTTTTTGGTTTGTGCTGGAGCAATGCCAGATCAATATAAGGGTATTCCCAATTTGTTTATTTTGCTCCTCTTACAAGATGTTTGATTACTTTGACTTCCCCGTATGATTATTATCTTAAAAAGGCTTTTGTAGCATGAAGGATTTCGTTTCCTGACTGAAAATTTGGCCCTTCTGTCTTTCCTTACTAGATGGAAAAAGAATTGCGTTGCCAAGAAGATGAATCCTCCTACTTTTAAGACTTTAAGAGTCGTTTTACAGTTTTACTAGGTTTAGACATTACTTACGCCCTGATTTTGGGAAGTGAAACAAAATATCCTTGTTGAGCAAGGATGATAGGGCTTCCAGCAGCAGGTGACTTGGGGCCCAATCTTTGCAATCAGGATCTTGATATTATTAGTTGGGTTTGTAAAGCTTAGGGATATGAGATATCTTGGATGATTTGTTACTTCTTGCACTGAATGTTATTTGAGGGGGATTGACTTGAATCTTTGATTGGTCATGATAGTATGAGCTACATTTATCTTCAAGAATGAACTTAAATCCTTAAGGAAAACATAGATAAATCATAGAAACTTGGGGGAGGGGGAATGGGGAAGGAAGGAAAGAGAATTTGACTTTATAATCAAACCCTCTTGTTCTTTGTATCCATCTCCCTACCTAACAATCCCTTTTTCTGAATTTGTCTTTATACTGAAACCTTCTTGTTCCTTATATCCATCTCCATACCTAGCAATCCCTTTTTCCTGGAATTCACAATTCATATTGGTTGATTTTGAGATCAGCTTTCGCCTAGTTCTTTTTGTCACTTTATCTCTTGGTTAATCAATGACCATTGCTTGTTGATTTCTGTTTTACTAAACTTTTGATGTCATCATTGTGGGGTTAATATCCACATTGTTTTGTTTCTGTGGAACTTATTTGTTATTTGGATCAATCTTATGCTGATTTGGTTGGGAACCACAGATTCATAAAATGTGAATTTTAGTCGTTCTTACTGTTTCTGATGGTTCATCAAACATTGAAGTACATTGCAAGAGCGAGTTATTTGTGGTTAAGCTATGTAGTTGAAGATATCTGAAGAAAACTTTCCTACTGCTGCTGCTGTAAAAATAAAACTTGATTAGTTTATATATTTAGTCTTGATTTATATAGTAGAACTAGATTTAGGTATAATATCATAAGTTTTTCTATAAGGTTCTTTAATAAATACATGAATGTGGAGAACCCTTTTTTTGGAACATCTGATGAGGTGGTGCTGAGCTTTGAAGAGGTATTCATTCAATCATTTGTCTTGTTTTTTTTTTTTGAAAACTTAATAGAAAATATTAAAAAAAATTGTGCTTAACTTTTCTCCTATATAATATCATTAATTAATTTGCAATTAAAAGAGGTTTAACAAGTAAACTTTCACCCTTTAATATCTCACCACAAGGATTTGCTTGTTCCATTTTGCTTCAGCAATGAAATATGTTACTAAAAGTTTAAAACCATCCATGATGAAGTTCCTTGTTGCGTGCTAGTCTTAATTGAACTAGTACAAGTTAATGAGATAACTTCATGGGTTTTTGTGAGTTTGAGTTTTGGGAACCATCACGGAGATTATGTAGAAGCAGTCATGAGGGTTTAATGTAATTCTGTGATATCTCACCCATTCACACCAAACGAAAGAAAAAAAGGGGGGATGCTTGACATGAAATACAAAGGAGTTTGGCGTTTTGATTTGTTTGTTTATAAACAACAACAAGCCTTTATCCCACTAGGTGGGGTCGGCTACATGGATTGCAAGACGCCATTGTGCTCTATCATTTATTAAGCTTTTAGAAATATTATTAATTAAGAGATCACGTTCAACAACTTCCAAGAGTGTTCTCTTAGGCCTTCCTCTACCTCTCTTAATCGGACTCAAAGTTATATGTTCCACTCTTCTCACTGGTGCCTCCCTTGGTCTTCTTTGTACATGCCCAAACCATCTCAACCGATTTTCTACCATTTTTTCCTCAATAGGTGCCACCCTCACTTTTTCACGTATGTGCTCATTTCGAATTTTATCTTTACGTGTATGTCCGCACATCCATCGTAACATTCTCATCTCTGCTACTCCAACTTTATGCTCTTGCTGTCCCGTTAGAGCCCAGCATTCACTACTATATAACATTGCCGGTCTGATAGCAGTACGATAAAACTTTCCTTTAAGTTTATTAGGCACCCTACGGTCACAAATAACTCCTTTAGCTTTTCTCCAATTAAACCACCCAGCTTGAATTCTATGTGAAATATCTCCACTGATTTCGCCATCATTTTGAATAATGGCTCCCAAATATCTAAACTTTTCCACTTGAGGTATAATTTGATCTCCCAATTTCACTTCGAAATTATTTTCGAATAGTCCTTTACCAAATTTACAATATAAATATTCCGTCTTACTTCTACTCAGACGAAAACCTTTCGACTCCAATGTCCTCCTCCATAACTCAAGTTTGCAATTAACCTCTTCTCTTGTCTCTGCTATAAGAACTATATCATCCGCAAAGAGCATACATTTCGGGATTTCCTCTTGAATATGTTCCGTCAAAACATTTAAAATCAAGTTGAACAAATAAGGACTCAGAGATGATCCCTGATGTAGTCCAATCTTTATAGGAAAATCCTTTGTTTGACCACTAGGCGTTCTTATACTAGTTTTTACCCCCTCATACATATCTTGTATGGCTTTAATATAAGCAATCCGTACTCCCTTTTTTTCCAACGCTTTCCAAAGCACTTCTCTTGGTATACGGTCATAAGCTTTTTCCAAATCAATAAAAACCATGTGTAGATCTTTATCTTTACAACGATACTTTTCCATTAATCCCCTTAGTAGATAAATCGCCTCTGTAGTTGATCTACCTGGCATAAAACCAAATTGATTCTCAGAAATACTTGTCTCCAATCTCAACCTGTGCTCAATTACTTTCTCCCACAATTTCATTGTGTGGCTCATGAGTTTAATCCCTCTATAGTTAGTACAATTCTGAATATCTCCTTTATTTTTATAAATAGGAATTAATGTACTTCTCCTCCACTCATCAGGCATTTTCTTGGACCGTAAAATCACATTAAATAACTTAGTTAACCATCTCACCCCTTCTTCACCTAAACATTTCCACGCTTCGATAGATATACAATCAGGTCCGTTAGCTCTACCATTTGCCATTTTCTTAAGAGCTTCCTTTACCTCCTTATCACGTATTTTTCGATAGAATGACAAATTTTGTTCTCCTTCACCAGTTACTAAATCCTCCAAGTTACTAGATGAATCCTCTCCATCATTGAAAAGTTTAGAAAAATAAGTCTCCCATCTATTTTTAATTTCATCATCTGTAACTAAAATTCTTCCCTCTTCATCCTTAATACACCTTACCTGTTCTAGATCTCTTGATTTTCTTTCCCTACTCTTGGCAATCTTATAAATATTTTGCTCTCCTTCCTTCGTCTCAAGGTTCTTATAAAATTCTTCAAAAGCTTTGGAACGAGCTTCACCCACAGCTCTCTTAGTTTCCTTCTTAGCCATACGGTACCTCTCCCAATTTTCCTCATTGTTACACAAATGTATGGCTTTAAAACAGTTCTTCCTCATTTGTTTGTTTATAAAGGACAGTTAAATTGAGTCGGAGGTGGATGTACTCCATGGATGTAGGTTTGCTTATAACTCTTAAAATTACAATCAAGCGTTGTCTTAATTGGGGCATTTGACAGGATTTTATATGCTGGCTATGTTATGGAGTAGTGTGAAAATAGTGGGCTGTGAGATAGGAACTTTAGTATTGAAATGAATCATGTATATGTACATTGAGCATCAATTGGTAAGCTGCTGTTAGTTTGTTTATGGCTCTCTAATTATCCAATAAATTAGCATCTTTAATGATTTTGAATTCAAGACTAGCTTACATGGATCAAGTTGGATATTTATTAAGGCTATTCAGGTTTGATTTTCAAGGATTGCAATGTAATTAGAGTCAATCTTCAATTTGGATTTGAAATCATCATCGATCTATTTCTTTTAAAATCTCTTCTTTTCTCCTCCCCAAACTTCCTCCCAACCATACAAAGTTTACCTTTGTTCTCCATTGTTAAACTGACAGTGTTATGTGATGTGATATCCTCACATGAGAGAATCCTGATTCACAATACTATGGTTGTGGTAGACAATATGGGGCTGTTGAATAATGCTCTCAATATTATTTATTTTGCATCACAGAAGGAATGACATTCAATGAAAGATGAGGTAGAAATGAAAGTGTTTTCTTACGTAAAGTTGTATGGTGCGAGGATGATAATGAAGCAAAATGGAAATTCTTGTGATCCAATAACTTCTGATCATTCAAACATCTTTTTTTATTCTATAATGAGTTTGTTGGTACTTGGTATCACCTTATTGCATAGTGATATACTACTTGTTTGTGATTTTAGTCTGTAGTTGACATCTCAATAAACATGTTACTGCACTTTGGTAGCATAATTGCATCATGGAATTATAGATTTCTCTGTTTTGGTTTGCTGCCGAGTTTACATTCATAGTTTTGCTAGTGACTGGAGAAGTTATCTTGTCTTTTGTTATATGTATGATTGTCTGTATACCATATCACAATGGATATGTGACAGCTTTTCTTTTCTCAAGCTTGAGAAATCCTGATATTAGATGCATCATTGAGATTTTCTGCAATTTGATGAAAAGCATTTCATGCAATGAAAAATGCAGAGTGTAGAGGGAATCTTTGTTGGATCTTTTTTTCTTCATCAAATGAATAATTTTGTTCCAAGAAAATTTGATAGCCTCATTGTGTGACCAAAAACATAAAATAAAATGAAAGACAGTTTTTTTTGTGTGCTGCAACATTTTATTCGTGAGGGAATCACTGATTCCTTGCTATTGCATGTTTCAAAATCAGTTTGCCTCCTGTGGTTTACCCCCAAAGAAAGTTGTGAAAATGTTAAAATGTTGAGCGATTTCCCTTTCAAATATTTTTTTTCCATTTATGTGTTGAACTTTTTTACTATTTTGAGACCATATTTAGGATTGATTAATTAATTAAGTAGATAAATATCAAAGTCTGTAAATACAACAACAATAAGAAGTCTTATCTTGTTAGGTAGGGTCGGTTATATGAATTGCACGACATCATTGTGCTCTATAATCAACCAAACTTTTAAGAATATTGTTAACCAAGAGGTTTTATTCAACAACTTCTATAAGTGTTTTCTTTGGTTTTCTTTTACCCTTCTTTATCGGGCTTAAGATTATCTGTTTCATTCTCTTTACCGGTGCCTTCCACAGCCTTTTCTATAGATGAATATATAAAAAAAGGATCAAGTAAATGATTCAGTTTTGAAATCTCAACTTTATCTCAGCACTAGAGGGGTGATGAAATTGTTCAATGTGTAACTGCAACATATTTTCAACAATTTAAATGTTCATTATTCGAGTTCTATGAAAAGAGATAGAGGAAGATTAAAGAGAACATTCAATGAAATTATTAAAAGAAATTTTTTAGTTAACAATATATTCAAAGATTTAGTTGTTGATAAGAGTACAATGGTGTTGTTCAATCCATATATCTAGCCCTATCTAGTGAGATGAAGCTGTTTCTTCTTGTTGTAAATGTTCATTATTTCAAAATTCGTCTAATTATTTGTACTATTAAATTTAAGACAAAAATACTAGAGTTGTTAAGTGGGTAATAGAATAGAGCACAAGGGGGTAAATTGATTTTGGACCAAACGCAGGAGAGTGCACTACAGTAAACCCTATATTCATTTATGCCCTGCTATTTTGAAGAATTGCATCACAGAATTTGAAGCTTTCATGTGCTAAATGCTTTCTTCATTTTGGTTCATTCTTTCAGGATACCCAATCCATCAATAAAGCTCCTCTTGATGTGAATAAGCTACCAATTGAAACTCAAAATCTGCTAGCTGTCTGCAAGAGGGAGAGCATGGCTGAGTATCCGTCACCCGAAAGGGATAATTCTAAAACTATGGATGAGTACCCATCACCACAAACCGATAATCCGAAGCCATTCTCGCTAATATACAAAAGAAGGCGGCATAATTTGAACACTAGTCATTCAAATGCTCCTGAGCATTCAGCCCGTAACAGCCAGGATCCATGTTCATCGATAATAACAACCGCAGCAACAACACTTCCAGCTACAACCACCACAACAACTGCCAGTGCTTCGACGAGAAAACATTTCTTGTCTGCGTTGGTGGAGTTCTCTCTACTTGAATCTCTTGAACCCAAGGAAAGTCCTTCGACTCGCGTGCCACAATTTGACCCCTCTACTCTTGACGCTCCTGTGCCTCCTAGCTGCTTGAAATTCATCCAACAGTTGCAGGATGAGGTTCGTAAACTCTCGGTTGAGAGGGAGACAATGAAATTTGAGATTATGAGTGCTCAGGCCATGATAAACATCCTGCAATCGCGTATCGATGCGCTGAACAAAGAGAATGAGGAGTTGAAGAGAGGCAATTAGAGAATGCTTAGGAACTGGTTGTGTACATGTGCAATCTTGTTCTTGCTATTGTACCAATTTCAGCACAGCAATAGTGCTTCTTCCAGTTCATGTATTATTTTTCAAGAGTTAGTGGTAACAGGGGAGGTGAGTAATCTGTTAGTAAGGAAGGGACTCTATAAACGTGGGGGAAGTATATTTGTGTATAATGTGAGAAATGGATTTAATATAGTTTTATAGTCTAAAAACTCATGTATCAAATGATATCAGAGCCAATTCACACTATTTGATGCATGGTAAAGGTATTTATCAGGAATATTCGATATGAGTATCAAATGATGTAAATTGGCTCTAATATTGATTGGTACATGAGCATGAGTATTTAGACTATAGGACAATATATAGAATCCATTTCTAACATGTTACACCAATATGATTCCTTATTTATAGAGTTCATTTTTCACTATCAGATTACTAACTTGTTAATCTTCCCTGTAGCAATTAGGATCTGTTGTAGTTTTCAACTTAAACTAGATTTCCCAAGAGACTTGAACTTTTTATTTGCATTGTGTAATCTGTAAGGCTTTTAGTTGCCCATTGTTGTGAGAATGGTAATCTGGACTTCCTTCGCTTTGCTTGCCCTTTAGGAATGGTTAGAAACCCAATTAATCTGTCTAATATATATATATATACACACATACAAGTGAACTCAAATTATAATATTATATATATATATATATATATATAAAAGATACATGCGTGTATATACTGAGTCTTTTTAGTGTTTTAAGTTGAAACCTATACATGTAATCTAATAACGACGGGGTGTATGTATTAGACGGTTTGTAAATAACGACGTGGCTTATCTTTCTTCACACTTTGTTTTCAATTGGTGACTTAAATAGTCGGTAGATTTAAGCTGGTAAGATGTGATGTGACTCATCTTATAAAGACATTTATAATTTATTTGAATCAGGTCAAAGAAAATCAACTCTCAAATTTAATTACAGAAAAGGATAAATCAGGAAAAAAAACAGCAGAATAACACGAGAACCATGGAACGGAATTAAACATTTTCAAGGACCATGAATTTAAAATTATAGAAAATGACCACAGTTTTAAAGACACATAATTGACAGATAACTCTATTGAAAGTAGCAGCAGATGAGTTGCAAATCACGAAAGCTCAACGGCAAATCTAAAAACATCACTTGCAAATGGGTTATCAATTATGTAGGCTTTATAAATCCTGAAAACTCAGTAGAAAATGTTAAAAGCTTTTAAATTATAGAAGTTCTAGAAATCCTAAAACATCTAATCTTCCATTATTTACAATTCAGCGTTTAATATTAGTGTTTAGACCTAAAATGAAGCGTTAAGCCCAAAATAACAAAGAGAAAGGAAAATGAAACGTCAAGCCCAATACTTAGATGAAAAAGGCCCGGTCTGTTTCTAGATAAGGTTCCATGTTGAGCATGTACTGAGGTGAGGGGCATGACCCTTAAATCTCAGAGTGAATGAGTGTGAAAGGTTGTTAAATGAATGTGGGATCTCATTTAACGTGCCCCAAATCTTGCTGGATTGTGTCCAGCAATAGCAAATATTTTACAGATGGGCTCCTGATTCTTCAGGCACCATGGTCTTAAGCATTCAAGTATAAAAAAGGTCTAACTGATAAAATCAAGGATGGACAATTTACATGAAAAATAGACTCATTTCTTAGTTTCAATTCCAATTTACTTTGTATTATGCAATTATACTTAGATTTTTTGAGTTTTACAGTTGTAATTGTTGCAACTCTGTACTTCAATTCTATTAATTAAATCACCTTTACATCATTATCTTCATGTGAACTTAGGTAAGGAAGCCTACATCATTATCTTTGTATCTTTGCATTTGGGTGGACTTAGGTAGGGGATCTAAGGGACCCTTTTATCATATTTGAGATTCTATGTCTCTAGCACACTGGATACTTTTATTGCTTAAACACAATGAACAATTTGTGGCATACCTAGGGGGACCATTGTGATAAAGATGCCTAGAAAGAATGTTGATGAACGAGGTACTGGTTCTCATGAACTCGAAGGTGGCTCTGCACACGTAGGGTTAGAAGAACACTTAACGTGTGAAGATAGAGTAAATGCACATTGTGAGCATGTGCTGCCAATGACCACTAGCGGCAGTAATGCATGCAAGTCTTACTTGAAGGCAAGTAACAACACTGTAAATCCTCTGACTGTGTTTAACTAGCCTATTGTAAAAGTACTGTGATGGATACAAGATCGTGTGGATAAGTAGTTAGAATAAAGTTGGAGATTATATGCACTCTTACATAAGCTTCGGAGTGTCGAGAAAGAAAGCACCGGCAGGTAATGATACAGGCCCTTCATGAAGGGTTAAGGAACATCACTACATGGCTAAGGGGAGGGCCCATAAAAGTTGGCTCAATATTCGTGTTCCATGGGGGCAACCCTCAAGGAGCAATCCAAACGTAGGCCTTTGGGGCTACATACACATAAGGGACAATTCTATCCCTTATGTTTTTGCACACATTAATCCTATAAGTCTATTATGGTTATTTAAAAATAAATATAAAATCTGTAATAAAATAGTGCAAATACACAAATTATTGAAACCCCAAAGTGTCAACTCAAACCAATACATAACAAATACCTAAACAAACATAAATCAGAGTTGCAAGCTTTTGGAACTATGGGATACTAAAATGTTCAAAAACTTAGTTTAAAAGAAAAATAAAATGACATTTTACAATTATAGGAGCATCCGCTGTGGCTTACAATATCCTGACGTGCCATTCGAGCTCAACGAAGCTTTGGAAGTGTTTGTTTTTTATAGGTAAACCTTTAACCTTTTAAAAGTTTGAGGTAACCAAAAATATTTAATTTGTATACTTGTTTGTTAATTGACTATATGTTCAAAGACTTTGTTTTAAAAACCGTGTGATAGTTATTAACTTATTTTTGATACAAGTTATGGCAAAATGAAAAATTTTATGTGATGTACAAGTGTATGTATGAATTGATGATAGTGATGTGAATATGTATGTTAATGTAATCAAAAAGGAAAAGTTGCGAATTGAAATGTGTGTTGAGAATGATTGCGGTTGTGATAGTGTTTAGCATGATATGATGAGATTATTGTCAATAAAATTGCATGCTACATGTTGATATTATGTGCATTGCATGATCATTTATAGATGAATTTTGCCTAGGGAGAGGAGTAGTGAAAAAAATCCACGTGATATTAGCAGCTTAATGTTAGAATCAAAAGCTAGTCAGACTATCAGCCATTGAAATCAAGAGATAGTCATTGTCTCATTATTGTTAAGGGACAGTCCCACTTGTTTTTTGATGGACTGAAATCTAATTGATTTCTACTGATTCATGAGGAGGTTAGATTAGGGGTACGAAACCCCATGATTGTTAGTGTTGGGGGAAACTGTGACTCACAAGTGAGTGAAGTAGCCTTAGTCGGGTAGCTCCTCATGAGTAAAAGGCTTGGATAGTTTAAATACATGAACGTAGCCCACTATATAGCTACCAGTTTCATGTCAGAGGTATTGAAATAATATAAGGATAGCATTGATCATGCATTTCACTTTTCGGCCACATGATTGTTATTATTGTGGTTTGGCATAATTGACAGGGGCATATAATTGTTAGTATTATGATCCTATATGTATTTTAATGTTTATCATTGATGTGAGTTTCAATATGTGATTGTGCTTGGCTGCATGGTTGTTAGCTTTATAGTTGTGGTACCCTTTTGAAAAGCAAGTCAATTTGTGAAAAGAAATGTAATTGCCAATTGCATTTATAATTAATTGCATCTATAAGATATATTACGGGGACAGGCTTATCAGATCAAGATCGAGAAAACAACTAAGGCATAGGATTCTATTGGAAATCCTATTAGTAGGTCTCGTAGTTTTATTTATGTGTATTTTGTTAATAATTTTCCAACTAGGTTAACATATGATTTTTAACTACTTGCATTATTTAAGAAATTGAATTGAATGTGTATTTTAGGCTTTAGGTTGTATATATTATGGCTATAAAGTTTATATAGGGCCAACATACTAATATAAGTAGAGAGATGTGTAGTTGTATGGATATTGTGAATGATATAATAATTTATGAGAATTTAGCTCCCCTATATGTTTTTATGATTATAAGATTGAGCGTTGAAAATATGATTTATATGTGAATGTTTGGCTGCGATGTATTACACGAGTCCATTATAATTCATTGAGTGTGGTCTAAGGGTTAGTATGAGCTTTTGGCACTTGGATTGAATATTAGACACCTTAATTGTGATTAATGTTAAAAATGAGTCTTTTTGGAAATGGACGTCCAACTTTTGATTGAAAAGTGATTTGATTGTAAAATTAGTGCCATTAATTAGAGCTCATAGAAAGCTTTTCATAGACACTTAGATTACTTCAATCAAATGTTGGACGAAGAATCGGAGCACGTTTAAATCTTGCCCCAAGTGATATCTTATGACAATAAGTTTGCTATTAGATTTCATGTAATATGCCATGGGGCAAGCATAGCATAGAAGTAGATGAGCCACGGCACATCTACAACAAGCCGCGACGTATCACTGAGTGTTGTACTAAAATGCTATTTTTCCAATCCAAATGCAAATACTTTGTTACAAATATCCTATACTTTTGTGAACATCTTTTACTCTGATTTTTGAATGATAATAGAATATTGAAGTGTTTGAATTTCAAAAACTTGGGATCTCATTCTTATAAATTTTACAAACTTGATAATTATCTTAGGTTCATTGCAAAATCTCCCTTTTCTAATTACAATTAAAACCATAATTTAAGGTAATCAATAGATTAACTCATGAAGAAATTACCAAGTTTGTACTTTGAAATAACGGGATCCCAAGTTTTTATAGTTTAAAATGAGTCAAATTCATTTGTTAAACATTTAATTAGAGTTTAAATCATGTTATAAAAGCATGAGATATCTCATAAATGTGAAAGGAGTTGAAAAATTTCATGGCATGCCCCATTTCTTCCTCGTTATTTGTGACGTACTATGGCATGTTGCATGCTCATGATAGCAGAATCCAAGTAACTTTTGACATGCCCCATTTCTTCGTCTGATGTCCAAATAAGATTATCTAGATGTTTGTGAAAAGTTCTTTTTTTAAATTAGCTAATGACACGGGTTTTACTTTCAAAATGAGTTACACTAAGAAGTTGAACACCCAAATACATTTTCACAACTTTTCTCAACTTTCACAATAGAAAAAGGTGTCTAAAACACTATACAAGTGCTAAAAGCCATTAGTAACACCTAGACTATATTTATTGGACCTAAAACTACTTGTACAACCTACCATATACATAGATACACTACTATATCTAAATTTCACTCTTTAATCCTTTTAATATCAAAAATAGAAAGGGCAGTTTTAACCATTGCATTTCAAAATAACATTTACCATTATAATCAAATGGACATTAATATACTTATACTAGTATTTTAGCTCTATCAACTTTTACAATTTATGATAAACAACATCTCAGGACCTAAAATACAAACCATATATCACAGACAACTATATAGTGCAAGTGTAAACAAAAATATCCTAAATTGGCAATATTTAGTCTATTTCATAAAATAAATAAATGAAACATAAAGGCATATAATAGGAATACACAAATTCATAAGCCTTTAGAGCTTTTTCCCTTGCTGCACCAGAGGAAGAGCTTGTAAAATGTTAAAGAAAAAGGGTGATTTAGCTATTCAGTAATTAAGGTAAGCATACCTTATGTGGTTGTATATAAATTGAACAAACATATAAGTTTGAAGTTGATTTCATTAAACATACACTAATACATGAATCATAAATCATCATTTCTTAATTAACTTATTTTCATTTCAATCATAAGGTACATTGTCACAAGACACTTAAACATGTAACAATGATTAAATATATTAACACAACTTGCCACACTTAAACAACTATATGACACAATCAAACCACCCTTGTACCTCTTTATTTCCTTCAACTGAAACTGTGAGTTATAACATTGAATAGGGCTCTGTCCGTGTGACTGGATTATCCAAACTCACCAATTGTGAGGTGTGACCCAGCCAAAGATCATAGTAATCACTCTCAAACCATACTCTTGAATCTCTAAGGTATTATATACCCTAATCTAATCTCCTTAATAAACTGATGGAGATAGCTAGGTTCTAATCCTTTGACAAACTATAGGACAGTCTTTCGACAAACTATGGGATAAGGCTATACCCTCGTGCACTATAATATTTCAACTACTAACCACAAATTAACCAATAAAACTCATGGTAATTAAAACATTAGTTCAATAAATAGATTACCAAGTTTTAGTTTAAAATTAAGGGATCCCAGGTTTTCATAATCAAATGAGTTTAAAACAATCATAAACTCTTTTACTAGATAAAAAATAAGTTATGGAAGCATGAGACACCTCTGAGGAGTGAAAAAAATTAAAAATAGTAGAAAAATAACTCATGTGCTATGAAACAGGGTAATGCGCTGCAGCTCGTGCATGCTGCCCCGCAGCGTGTTGCTCTTTGTGACATGCATTACAGCTCAGGCACCATGTGCCACAGCATGTTACATGAAAATATCAACAGATTCTACTGTCATTTGACAGCAGAATTGGAAAACTTTTGATGTGTCCAGATTCTCCGTCTAACATTCGAATGACATGACTTAGGTGTCTATAGAAAGCTCTTTACATGAACTAACTAATGGCATGGGTTTTACTTCCAAAATAAGTTACACCAAAAAGTTGGACACCCAAACACATTTTGACCACTTATCACAACTTTCACATGAAAAGGGTATCCAAAACCCTCAACAAGTGTCAAAAGACTTTCCTAACACATGGATCATGTTCATTGGACCTAGGACTATCAGTACAACACATCTCATGTACTAAAACATCAGTATATCATAAAATCAATTCTTAATCCCTTTTTACCAAAATAGAAGGGGGAAGCAATTACCATTACATTGTATCAAAAATCGTTTTAATATGTATAAAACATCACTCCTATACTTACACTAGTGTTTTGGCCCTACCAACATATATATATCATTATACACAAATAGTTAGAGCCTAAAATGCAACTTGGACATTTACAACAACCAAAATAGTGTAAGTACAATGGAATGCAATTTTAAAATTAATAATCATATACTATTACACAAAATAAATCTAAACTAGAGGCATATAATAAGAATATACTAATTCCTAGCCTTAAGCCTTCTCCCTCTTTGCACTAGAGCTAGAGCCTGAAAAGTGTTAAAAAAGAGGGTTGAGTCTAGCCACTCAGTAACCAAGGTAAAACCTACCCTATGCAGTTATATATCAATTATAAACCAAGTACATACATATGAAACCAATTACTTAAAACATACTTACACGCATCATAACTCATCATTACTTATTTTATAACATCTTTATCTCCATATACTAGATGCATTATTACAATACTTTTACATATGTGACTATGACCTATCACTCAAGCAACTTGACACAACTCGACACGTGTGACACACTATATATTCATATAGGCAATGATCATCCAAGCTTATATCCTTCTTATTTTTTTAAAATGAAACCATGAGCTATAACACGTGTGACACATCGTATATTCATATAGACTGTCTTCCAGAGCTCTGTTTATGTGATTGGACTACCTAAGCTCACTAATTATGAGGTGTGACCCGGCCAAAGATCAAATGACTCACTCTCGAACCACAGCTTTCCGCATTCTTGAATCTCTAAGGTGTCTCATGGCCTAGGCTATTCTCCTCATTAAACTGGTAGAGAAAACTAGGTTCTAGTCTCTCTATAAATTATGGGATAGTCTCTCGACAACCTGTGGGATAAGGCTATACCCCTATGCACTGGAAGACAGTCTAAATACCATATGGATTTTTCTTTACTCTCAATCCCTAGGCGACTCCTGCCCATTGATTATGCCATATATGATGCTCACTCATTTTTACATTTTTATTTATTTATTATCACAATAATCACGTTAGGCTCACAATCGTGCGCTACTCAAGTGAGCATCAAGTTTCATTTCCCTTTATAGCACATAAACACAGCATTTTTAATCTCAATTACTCATGTTTATCAAGACCATTATCCACTACTCATTTAAACACATTATAAATATGAAATTCACTCTCGAATATCACTTTTACAACTTGAAACTCATTTTGTAATCTCTTTACCATGTTTAATGCATATTAAAGTGTTTAGATAAATATAAGTTTCATTATATGGTGCACTCATTCGCAAGTCAACATTTGCATACTAAACACATAATTAACATCATATTACAATTAACACATAACTACCTAAAGCAAGGTTTTCCCTATTACCTCAAACTTTTGAGAGGTCAAAGGCTTACCCCTCAATATTATAGCTTTCAAGCTTGAATTCCTAAGCTAAATAGGTTTTCAAGAGCTAAATTTACAACCAATCAAGTTGGATTTCATCAACGATGCACATTCCACTTCTAATGTACCCAATAGCCATATTGCTTACATTTGGGCCTACCCATTAGGTTTATTATCTATCTTTAGTCTCCAATAACAGTAATGGCATCACACTCTTCCAACAACTTACATAAATGTAAATTTTAGATATTAATAGTGCCCAACAACCTAAGACACTAAAATTCATTATACTTAGGTTTGGATACTTTAATCTACTCCTATTAATTCTATTTGAGTTAATAGATTTAGACCCATAAACTATATGAACTGAAAATCATCTTTCACTATTAAACCCTAACTATAAAATAGAAGAAAATGGGAGATTAATGAGTGTGGTACTTACCTTGGGTGTTTGTAACTTTTAAAATACATCCAATGTTGTTTAAGAACAAATGCTAGTAGAGCTTGGTACACTTCTTCTGTTTTCTCCTTTTTTCTCTTTATTTCTGTCTCAATTTTACGATTGATAAATTGCAAAAAATGACTATGTATGCACAATACGCCATAGTGTATGGCACAGAGAGGTCCTCATTTTGCATCTGAAGTATCTGTGCACTGTGATAGATGTTCTCTACTCTGCAACGTGTGGCACAGCGATACCAACTCTTCATTTTCTTCTCCTTTTTATGCCTGAGTAGCCCGACTTGATACTGCACCCAAAATTAAGGCTGAAATACAACCGAATATGATTATTAGACCTCCTTGGCCACACACCACTACAATTTACTCAATTATCCCAATTAAGTTTAGTTAATCAGGGGATTAAAAACAGGGATGTCACATGCACCAGAAGGTAGCTGAAAATACCATATAAATTTTTATCTACTCGCCCACTGATCATGTAATGTACGATGCCTACTCACTTTTACAATTTTATTTATTCATTATTAGCACTTTGGGCTCATAATAATATGTTACCTAAGTGAGCATCTGTATTGTTTTCACAAGTGTATTTTATTTTACTAAATCATCAATTTTCTTTATCAACAGACCAATCATCATATCATATACATCACATATTTCATCCCAAAATATATATGTTCATAGTTTGAAAAATTATTTTGACTTTAATTTCACATTCCAAGTCAAAACAAAACATGATACATAATTACAATTCAAACCATTATCAAGGCTAATGACATGCTTTCACGTTCAAAAGTCAAATCATACATGCCAATTTGCACATTTCATAATTAACAAACAACTACCCAAGGTGGGGTTTCTCCAATTGCCTCAAACCTTTAAGAGGTCAAAGATTTATCCCTTAATAACTAGCTTCCAAGCTTGATTTTGCAAACCAAAATGGTGCCCAAATGCTCAATCTATAATTAATCAAATTTCCAAACTTTTAACAATGTCAAACACCCATTTTCACTCTTATTCTTTCACTTTTACAACACCTAACACCCTTACTTCTTACCCTTGAGCTTACTCATTGGGTTTAATAACTCTCTTTAGTTCCTATTAGCATCATTAATCATTTCTAATATCATTAATATCCTAACAACCCCTATTAATCTTCATTAAATGCTCATTTTTGGATATTAATGAGGCTCATCAACCAAAAATGTTAAAATTCATCATTTTTAGGTTTAAATACTTCAAACAACTCTCATTAACTTCATTTGAGTCAATGGGTTTGGACCCATACCTATATAAACCAAAAATTACCTCCTACTATCAAACCTTTACCCAAAAACTTCAAGAAAATGGAAGAAAAAAGAAGATTAGGGTGTATGATACTTACCTTAGGTTTTCTTTAGTACTAAGATACTCTCAAACTACTAATGTGGCAAACCCTAGTAGAGCTTCTTGCTTGTTCTTCATTTTTTTCCTTTTCTCTTCTTCTATTTTTTGTCTGTTTAAGACTAAATTTTGTAGAAAAAGGGTTGTGCGCTGTGGCACATAGCATAAAGAGGCCCTAGCTCTCCCTTCAATCGTTGTTTGTGCACCACGGCAGACATGCTACACACTACGGCATGTGGCACAAAGACACTTCCTTTATGTTTTTCCCCTCGTTTCAATGACCAGGTAGCCCAACTTCATTTCAGACTTGTAATTAGGGTTGAAAACACAACCAAACATGTTTATTAAACCTCCCTAGTCACATACCATACTAAATCACTCAATTACCATAATCAAACTTGATTAATTTGTTAATAATCCAAGAATTAATATTTGAAATGTTCCATTAATCCTATGGTTACTTGGGATTTTAGGAGTTAATTACAAATTGGTAAGGGTAACTTTATATAGGCATCTTACGTAATAGCAAATTACACAAGCACCGAGATAGTATGATATTGTCACATAAGAAACTCTTAGGAGTGAACATCCCTCACACCTTAAAACAATATCCAACGTCCAAAAGAGAGGGTATAGTCTAAAGAACTAAAACAGCACAACAGATACTAGCATTGCTTCTACCTTACAATACAACAATTCACAATATTTTACACCTAGCCACACAATCATATCATTTTCACATTTAAACCACCAGAGTGTCCACGCCAACCAAGTGGCAATAATACAAACCACAACTTAAACCTGCCACAAAAGACTTAAGATAACCTACAACAACATATATAGCACAGTTCACAATTCCAAATCTCAACCCCTTAATCATTAAAAAGTAGAAGGGGAGATGCCCAATATAGTAATTCCTAGCATAGGAAATTATAGTTTACAAAACAATCAACAGCATACTTGCACCAGTATTTAGGCCCTTAACAACTAATCATAGTTTATACAATAAGTTTAGGGTACTAAATACAACCAATCAAATAATAACAATATGCAATGATGCAAGTAATCCAAAATAAATATCTTAAGTTGGCAACAAAATCATCATCATTATATTACACAAAAAAAATATAGAGAAGGGGGCTATATAGTAGGAATCTCAGATTCCTAAGTCTTATATGCTTTTCCCTTTTTCTTATTAGAGCTAGTACCTATAAAAAGTTAAATAGGGGTGCGTACAATTACTCAGCAACTAAGGAAAGCTTTAAATCACTCACATACACGTTAAATCAATAAGGGCATGCAAGAGGGCATTAGAAATCACAGTAAGACAAATAGTATACTTTCACCAATATCACATCTCATGATACAAATAAATGCATGATCTTAAATTCCTTATCTCCTCCTTATATTGCAGACTGAATCCATAGATTGAAAATTTAATAGGACTAAGTCTATGTTACTGGACTAGCCCAATCCCTTTAATCATGAGAAGACACTCAATCAAAGATGTCTTGCTTAATCTCAAGCCATAGATTCCCCTAATTCTTGAATCCATTGAGGTGTTATAATGCCTAACGCCACACCTAGTCCATATCAATATAAAAGGGCAACAGTCAAGACATTTATGCTTACATCCACTCTAGGGTGAGGTGTAGGAAGACCTAGCCATAATCATTACACATAATTTAGGGTGAATTATATGGTTTTATGTGGAAAGAAATCACTACTCTACTGAGGGTAATCTCTTACCCAAACCATGATCATGTCAATATGTACAGTTTATTATCATGCAAAACTCATGGCACAATAAACTCAAACATGCATTAACAATTCACCATTTCCTCATCATAATATATGTACATTTTCATCATAAAAAAACTAGTCAATCATATAACATTTTTGGTATGTTAAACTTTAATTGGAAATAAGGAAAACACACTTGCATATATTTTCTAAAACCATAATCAAGTTTGTAATTAATAAGGTTCATATTAAACATTAGTAAAACATCTTAAATTAATCTAACAAGTAATAGCATAAGTCATAGAGTAACCTGAGTACCTCAAACTTTTGAAAAATTAAAGGTTATCCTAATATCAATGACTTCCAGAGCAATATTTAAGCTCAAACAACATGCCACAAGATTAATCTACAACTTATAACAATAATTATCATTAAGTAAGAAACAAACATAACACTTCCAGCTCTGAATTATCCACTTTAAATACCAATAATTCTAACTACAAGTGTAACTTCAATTTCAGTGAATTTATTAGCTACCATTAGTTACATTTAGCTCCCAACAATTTAAATAACAATAGCTATAACAACTTATAGCACTAATTCTCCCTTAAATAACCTAAGCTTTGTCTAAAGTGGAGAAATTTGGATTCAATCCATTCAAAATTAATGTTCTATGATAAAAAACTAGCATCCAAAAATCTCATTTCAATTTAATAATTCATCTAATAACAACTTAAAGTCCAGTAATAATCATAGGGTTTACATCAAAGCCCTAGTTTAAAAATTAGCTCAAATGGAAGAGGAATGGTGTGGGAATTTACTTTATATGGTTACTAGCTTGGAAACGTCCTAAATTTACTGTAGAACCTTGCCCTAGCAGAGCCTTTGATAACTTCTTCGACCCCTTCTCCTTTTCTGTTAAAATATCATTTTTATCCTTCAACTTTAATTTATGTTATATAAATGTTTGTTATGCTTTAGTTTAAGTCGACAACTTGAGAACCTAATAATTTGTGTATTTGCACTGTTTTATTTTAGGTTTTATGTTTAGTCTAAATAATCATAGTAGACCTTGAATTTGGCTCTTTTCTTTTCTACTGTAGTTTGCTTTCATCTAATTGCAATTAGTTTTTTTTACCATGGTAAGGTGATTAGGATGATTAATTCCTAATTACCATGATGATTAGTGATTTTATAGTTAAGTCTTGTGATAAGTTAAGCAATTTTACAACTACCTCATTGAAACAAGTGAGGATACTATTGTTTTAATAAGTAACACTTTATATTACTTACAATAACCTAATATTGGTGCCTTAGGGGCATGTGAGTAATCCCAGAAAGAGAAAATGATCTACCTTTATGAAACTAAATAGTGATAGTAAATGTGTTAAGGGACATCATACAAGGTATCTACGGGCCATAGTTAAGACTGATTGGCCAACTTACTTTTGTAAAGCCATATCCTAAATACATAGAGTGGGAGAATCCTTATCTTAGGGGCTATCATATTCTAGACTACATTTTATTCTCAAGGGACGGTACCCAATCAACCTTGGAGCATATTAGAACGTTTACCATCCAATATGGAGAAATCGTCAAACTATGAGAATTTCAACAACTTAAAGCTTAGGTTGTTCCTACTTCCCTTACGAGGCCAACCTTTGCATGGTACACGACCTTAGCACGCAACTCCATCCTCACTTGGATAGTGATAGAACATAAGTTCTATATCTAATTCTATAAAGTTGAGCCTGAGGTTAGTATTGCAAAGTTTTATAAGTTATCCTAACTGGTTATTGAGTTCACAGATTAATAAATCACTAGGTTTAAAAAGATAAGAGGACAATGCAACGTGCCTCTCCTAAAAATTAAATTTGTCAAATTGGCACAATTAAGGTTGGATATTGAGTTAAGAAAGAAGTTCTAAGGGATGGAATTTAGGGACTTCTACAAACTCACAGGGAAAGTTTGTGGATATGAAGAGCTATTGAAAGAAGAAGACCACCGTAGATAGAACATTACAAGTACTTACTTTGGCAACATTGATGTAAATGCGGCCGAATTGAAAATTGTAGGGGATTACACATGTTCGGCTTTAATACGAATGGCCGTATCAAAAGCGTTGAAGAAAACCAATATTATGCAGGGTACCTTTGATACGTAAAAAACAGATGAAATATTCAACTACTTATTAAAAGAAAGGGCTCATCTCATTGCCCATAAACCACAAAATCTTGTTTATGAAGGAACGAAAGGGCAAATAACAGTATAAGTGCCATTACTCTTGGAGTCATGCTACTAACAATTGCTTGGCCTCTAAAAATGTTATGCAGGACTATATCAATAAAGGTATACTAAAGTTCCCAAGGAAAGATGAAAAAATGGTGATGGGCAAGGATCTATTCCTACCATTCACCACCATGAATATGGTAGAATTAGACCCTAACATTTGAAGGAACAGACAACGCAGCAAAGGATGAAGAGATTGTGCCAATGACCTTAAAACTTAATATGATAGGGCTAGACCAGAACATATGTATTTTTAGAATGTATGGATGAGAGTAGAATAACCAAAGAAACATTTAAAAGGTTTAAGGTAGTATAGAATCACCTTAGGGAGCTCTCAGGCAAATTTGACTTCTTTGTTAAGTATTCGGCCCCACTAGACTTAGAGAACCATTTCGAGGCAGACCCACGAGTTGGGATGTGGGACCGAAAGAAGAGCCAAGGGAAAAGCTAAAGAAACCTAAAGTGGCATTGGCCGCCTAAAGGAGCCCTCTGGCAAATTTGACTTTTTTGTCAAATATTTGACCCCACCAAACATAAGGAAACCATTCCTTGGTAAACCCATAGGTGTGGATGTATGATCGGAGATAAAGCCATCATAGGAAAGAGAACTCCTTTCAATGCCAAACTCATTGATCATTAGGGCTAATTTGTCATCCCACTGGTAATGTACCGCTTAGACAATGGAGAGTGGTTAGGCACAGGAAATTCTCTCACACAAAAAAAATGCCTCTAGCACAAGCAAGCTGCCTAACGACACAATGAGACTCAAAGTCATAAACCATACACAGGCTTTAGATAAAAAGAGAGCAGCAAGTTTAGGAGAAGGTCCATAAAAGCAAAAAGAATGATAGTGGTGAAGACAAAAGTTTGTTGTCTTAAGGGTGGAAAGAAACAAAATGCTAGAGCTTGTATCTACTCAAAAGTGCCAGTAGCTTATGACTATCGGCCACTCCTATATGGGGCATTGTTTGGGCATAAAATGAAGTGTGAAAGCCTAAAATAACAAAGAGAAAGAAAATTGAAACAAAAGGCCCAATATTTAAATAAAAACAAGGCCTAGTCCATCTCCAGATAAGGGCTTGACCCTTAAGACTTAGAGCGATTGAGTGTGGAAGGCCATTAAAAGGATGTGGGATCATTATTTGATATGGCTTAAATCTCACTAGACCATGTCTAGCAATATCAAAAATTTTGCAAATGAGCTCTTGATTTTTTAGGCACTATAATCTTAGGCATTCAAGTATAAAAGGGGTCTAACTGATGAAATCAAGGATGAACAATCTACACAAAAAACATACTCATTGCTCAGTTTCAATTCTAATTTATTTGTATTCAGCAATTAGACTTAGATTTTTTTTAAGTTTTATAATTGTAATCATTACAACTTTGTACTTGAATTTTAGTAATGAAATCACCTTTACATTACTATCTTTATATTTTTCGCATTTAGGTGAATTGAGGTAAGAGAGTCTAGGGACCCTTTTGTCATATTTGAGATTTTATGTCTTTCACACTCATGTTACTTTTATTGTTCAAACACAAAGAACAATTTGCGATGAACAAGTAGTAAGTAAGCTTCCAAGATTTACAAAATTTATCAAATTTATATTTCATTTGCAACTGCTCTTTCTATATTCACAATTCAACTTTTATGATTTATAACTCATCTTCAATTATTTGTATTTAAGTTAGGCGTCAACTACGTAAGAGCATTTTTATCTATTTATTTCATTTTCAAAACTTTGATCTTTGTAATTTTAGAAAGTTATAATCCTATGTAATGATTAATTTCTTTCCACTGTTCTTGTAGGTCATTGTCTCTAAAAAAATTCAACGGCCAACGTATCACCAAATGGAGCTTTCTGTATTGTAGACTTAAAAGACTTGGGAGAAAATGACTCATACTTCTTCTGGTCTACTTTATTGATCATCTTTTAAAAGGGTAAAGTGGTCTACTTTATAGTCATTGAATTGATAGTGATATTTTATTTTAAATGAAATGTCTAGACTATTCTTTAAAAGTAAGAGAGAGATAAAAATAATATCATGTAGTTTATTTACTTTTTGAGGGTTATGATTGTAATTTTGCTAAATTTTATTCTTTATATTTTTGTTGTATTGATATTGATAGAGTTGATAGAAATGATTTATAAATAAGATCGAAGGGAGTATCTTCTAAAAAAAGGAGTATGAATTAGAATGGATGAATGGGAGAATGGTTTTTATACTTCATCCATTTACTCTAGCCCTTTTCATAAGGCATTTTACACTATGTTTGAAAGATTTTTTTTAGTGGGAAATAGTATGGCTAAAAGGCTAAAACTATTGTTTGTGAGTTTTTTTTTTTTTAAAGAGGATGAAATGGCAAGGAAGGGCATCTAAAGCCCTCCTTTGCCATTCATAGCTCCCTTTTTTTGTTCTCCCGAATTGAAGGGTCAAGGATGGAATTACATAATATAATTATTTCATGTACAAAATTACCTCAACCTTCTATTCTAATAAAAAAAAAATCTCATCTATTATTTTTTTATTTTCTAGTTATCTCTCTTGCGTTCCCTTAGAACTGCACATAGGCAAGGTTGGGTTAGGCATTACCCTTGCTCGGTGCTCAGCTTGATATGCAATCAGGTATCAAGCTGGCTCGAATGGCTAGAAAATTTTTACAAGTATTTTTTTAAAATATATAAAAAAGGTTTTCCTTGAACAATTATTATTATTATTATTATTATTATTATTATTATTATTATTATTAAAAATATATTATTTATTAAACTAATATTAAAAATCAAAAGTAATGCTTTAATAGTTCAAATGAATGACATTTACCAATTATTTTTATATAATAATAAGTTAAAAATAAATTTCAAATTTTGAAATAGATTAAAAAACTTGTATTGATAAAAAATATCTAAAAAAATCATAAAAATAATATAATTTATGATAGCTTTTAATAAAAAAGTAATTCTATAAGATAAATATTATTAAAAAAAAATTTGCGCATGTTCGGACAAGACAATGTTTGATCCTTTTTGATGCTCGGCCCAATGTGCCTAAATGCTTTTGGGCAGGGCTGGCTTATGGGCATTCGAGTATAGTGTACAATCCTACCTTCTGCTATATCTCTATCACTACTAACATCTCTCTCTCTCTCCCCCCAACCCTTTCAATACTACAACTCTGTTGTGTTTTCCTTTTGTGCAATAGGTATATTTAATTGAGTAGCTCTATTGCTTATTTTTTCTTTTTATTCTTAATTTTTGAGCATCTTGTTTGACCGTTAATTATTATTATTATTATTATTATTATTATTATTATTATTTGTTGGACAAATATTATAATTATTTAATGAGCATTATTATTTTCTTTAAATTTAGTTATTAGGGTAATATTGGAAGAAAAAAGTTTTAATTCATTTCATTCCATTCTATTCATTTTATGATAACTCTTAAACAATGGCTATATAAAATCATTCCTTCTCATTATAAAACTCTTAAACAATAAAAAATTTTGTTCCACTGCTTTGATTCACTCTATTCTGTTTCACTTCATTAATAACCATTCTTTTACATGACACACTCTTAAGCATTTTCATTGTAATTAAGGAGATTCATAATTTATTAACTTCATCTAAAATTTTACTCATGTCTAAATAAAAAAGAGTTAAATAAAAAATAAAAAATATTAAAAAGTTATCATAAATACTTACTCTAATGCTACCCCAGGTCCTCACTAAAGTGTTATCTGCAAATAAGAAAAGTATTTATTTTAGTCAAAACCAACTCTCTCGTTTTTTTTAAATAAAAAAAACTACCATATATTATCATTTTTAAATCAAATTATAAATTTTAAAAAATATTAATTCTATTTTTTTAAATTATCTTCATAAATGAATGCTATCATAATCAAATTAGGAACAAATGTAAATATTAATTACCAGACATTTTAGTTAAACATTTTGACTTTAAACATAATTATTGTGTTATTAAAATTTATTTATTTTTAAAAACAGGAGTATTCAATATGTTGTCATTTAATTAATAAGGTAATGCCATGTGTCTCCCATGGATCACCCATGTACTCCTATAGGCGTTCACGTAGCGCAGCTGTGGCGGTGAGAAAGTGGTTACATGCCTCAGTTCGTGACTTTACCCGAACCCCTCCCGCGTTACTAGAACCTTCCATCGTCCCTTAAAACAGCCTTTTCCTCTCGCGTCACCGGCGAGCTTCTTCGCGAAAAAATGGCTTGCGTATCTTCTTCCTGTGTTTTGTTTTCCTTCTAATTGCTACTGAAACACCGAAACCTAATTCCAGATCTCTCTCTCTCTCTATCTTTCTCTCTCTCTGCACCTTTTTCTATTTCATACCCAGATTTCGATTTCAGCAATTCGCCTCGATTGGATCCACGATGGATCGTGATTCTGCAACTTCTTGGCCCCTGGATTTCGATTCCACCCCACCGACGGAGAACTCGTTCGCTACTACCTTCTGCGCAAGGTTTCCGGCAAACCCTTCCGGTTCGAACCAATAGCCACCATCGAGATATATAAACACGAGCCCTGGGACCTCCCCTGTTAGCTCTTTGCTCTTCTCTGTGTTTCTTTTGTGTAGAATGATTGTCTCTATGTATGTAGTATTAAATTGAATTTCATTTCTTCCTTGTCGTGCTGTTTGTTGAACGCGTGAACTGTGTGGCTCTTGCTGACTGAGAAATTTTATTTGTTGGGGGTTCTTGCGCTGTTTTAGGTCAGTCGAAGCTGAAAAGTAGGGATTTGGAATGGTACTTCTTCAGTGGGCTGGACAAGAAGTACGGAAATGGGTCGAAGACAAATCGGGCTACTGAGAAAGGGTACTGGAAGACTACGGGGAAGGATCGCCCAGTGCGTCACAACTCGCGGATTGTCGGAATGAAGAAGACCCTGGTTTATCACAGTGGTCGAGCGCCGCGTGGTACTCGTACCAATTGGGTAATGCATGAGTACAGAATGGCGGATGAAGAATTGGTGAAAGCAGGAATAGCTCAGGTGCTTTAACTACATTGCTACATGCTTTGCATGCTGGATAACAATATCTTTGCGTTGATATTTTCAATGGGGCATGTGTATTGAGAGTACTATATGTTTCATTCTCTTTCTTCGGTGGAGAAGGATGCTTTTGTGCTCTGTAGGGTTTTCCAGAAGAGCGGTGCAGGGCCGAAGAATGGGGAGCAGTACGGAGCCCCCTTTGTAGAGGAGGAATGGGAAGATGACGAGGTGGCTCCAGTGTCAGGTGAAGGGGCTGTTACTGATGAAGTTTTAATGGGTGATGGTATTGATGCTTTTGTTGAAATGAACGATCTTGAGCAGGTTTGTGTTCTATTCCAACTAGTTAGGAATATTATTTCAGATTTTTTAAGCCTATTTAGTGTTAGGTATTTTGGCCTTTGTTGATGGTTATGAAGGAGATTCCAAGGTTAGGAATTAAATTTTTGTAGTTACATCAATTCTGAAACTTTCTGAATATGATGAAAGGATTTATGGGGAAAGATGTAGAAAGATTGCTTATGATCGATTGTCTTCTGGGAGCAGGTTTTTGGCAGGGAATTAGGAATTTTAAGGGTGAATATGGTCAGTCGATGGGGTCATATATTGTGCATACACATCTTATATCTGTCACGCTCCTTCTGATTAGTTTATATTGGTATTTTTGAAAGGTAAGCTTGTGTTTAATCATTAAGAGAATACCAGGAATATGTACTTATGTTACTATGTGTGGCTTTGTGTCCTAATCTTCGTAGTCTCGGTGTCGGATGCTTTGTTTACCTAATACATGGGTTGATATTTTTAGTTTTGTCGTCAATGAAATGAATGTATATGTGTGTGGGAGTATTAAATGATGCAAAAATATCTATATTATTTGTTTTCTGGACTTATGGCAGTGCTTGCCTTTTTTTTATTCATTGCAATGTAGGCAAACTTTTGTGAGTTGAATGCTGCATAAGTTTGTGTATTATTATTTTCTGGATTTATAATATGGTCTGTTTTTCTTCTAATATGGTTTAATGCATGTCTTTGTTCAAAGTCTTTGCTCTTTTTTCGTGGCTATTCCTATCTGTTACTGCCATCCATCATTTAACAATCCTCTAATCTTGAGAATTTTTTATTATTACTAGAATTTTGACAGGGACTTAGCGTCTGCTAATGCTGCTCTTCCACTAAACATGTGTTATGGGGAGAGTAGTAGCTATCCTGAACCGGAGCATTCCTTGGAAACCATTGAAGAGCAGAAGCCCTTGGTAGGCACTGGTGGAACTTGTGAACCTCAAGAGGAACGGTTCCTGAATATACCTGAGCAGTATGCAGCTGATGGAAATCCTCTTATCGTCATGGATCATGCACTTAATGATCCATACTTGGATGCTTTTGATTTTCCTCAGATTGGTGATGGTTCATTCCTTGAAACCAATGATCTTTTGAATCCCATTGAGGCAGATCTTGATGTTCAGGACATGCTGTATGAGTATCTTAACTACTTCGATGCTGATGATGATATTTCCAAGTTTATGTCTTTTGAGTCTCCTCTGGTTAAGAGTGGTGTAGAATCAGTTCCTGACCAAGGACCACCTTTCATTCAGGTAAGGTCTTGCTTTAGATCTTGATATTTGAGGTTAGATCCCTTTTAGTGATTATTACAGTAGTTTTATACTAAATTGTCTCATTGCAGAATATGGGTAAAGAACCCAACGTGGCAAGTGAGCAGAATTTTGATAAAGCACCTTGTAGTAATGGAGCTTCCTCTTCTAAGCAGAATCCAGAATTGTCAAAATCAGTAGCAGGTGAGGTTTCCTTCATCTCCCAGATATTTGATTTGATTGTCGTGTGACAGTATAAAAACCCTTTAGCTGGTAGCTTATCTTGTTTGGTTTGTCTCTAGAATTGATTTTTTGGGAGGGAATCGATTTTTAAAAGAAAATTACCCGAACAGAATATACATGAAATAATCGATTAATGAGGTCAAAATCGATTTTTGTGTTAAGCTATCTATACCTACTTATCTGATTTTCATTTTACCATATCAATAAAAAATAATTTGTCAATAATTCATTTGTGTTAAATAAAATTTAACAAATTTAATATTAGATATAAATTTATCAATAATTTAATTTTGAAAAGCAATATCTTTTATAGTATTTTGTATAGCTAAAATTGGTTCTGACTAATTATCCAAACATCTTTAATTCTGTTAAAATTAATTTCAGAAGCAATATTCAAAGATATTGTGTTATAAAGTAATCAATTATAATTAAAACCAACTATATTATTCAATTATTTTCATAATTAATTATATCCAACTAAAATCCAAATAGGCTCTATCTCTTCTATTTAGTTTTGTTCTATACCTTGCACTCTATACTAACATCAGGAATGGACTTTTTGTCGATCTCTTTGTTTGGTAGGGGTAGGAGATATGAATCCATTGACAAAAAGGGCCAGTCGCTTGTTGGACAGCATCCCTGCACCTCCTGCCTTTGCTTCAGAGCTTCCTCCTAAAGACATTGCTCTTCGGCTTCATTCTGCTGCTCAATCTTCCAGTCATGTAACTGCAGGTATGATTAGAGTAACTAACATTACTCTTAGAGGTAACGGGATGGACTGGACGCTGGGCAAGAATGGAGGGTTCAACTTCGTGATCTCTTCTGATTTTTCTCAACCTAATAATAATTCTGATGCGTTGGTCCCGGTTTCTGGCTTGCTTTCCGGCAAGAGTGCCTTTTTGGTGTCACATTGCTGGTTTTTCTTGATGCTCTTTTCGGTTCTTATTCTCTCACTGAGTTGCAAGATTGGGAGTTGCATGTATGCTGCTGGTAAATGACACACGGAAGGCTATGTGTATGATGTAATAAGCGATAAGCTGCATTCAGCTGATAGTTCTTTGGTATCAATACACTCATTGAATGACTAGGATCTTAAGACTCTGTAGAGTTCTCTGTAGTTAAATTTTGTCAGACTGACTGCTTAGCTGATACGGAGTTGTTTTATACTACACGTGTTCATTGTAATTTATACATTTTTATATTCATATTTTTGGTTTCGGGATGTCAACAGCTTGACTAGTATTTGGTTTATACAGTATATAATATACGTTGCTATTATAGGTTATTTCCCCCCAATATCTCTGCAGACTCTGGTATATTTTTAGCTTAACTGTTGATTTTTATCGTGTGATTTAATTAATTCTGTAGCTGTGGCCATCAATAACTTTATTGATAGTCTGGCCATTGCCTCGGTTGGAGTGGGGACTGCACTGACGAGGGCATCTTTTTGTTTTTGGGCTCTATTTTCTGTATACCTCGGATGTCTTTCTGATCCTGTATGTATGTAAGTGTTGGTGATCCAGAGATTCCCTCGAGTTCAATGTCGGGATGTTTTGAAGTTCTAGGTTGAGTATTTTTGCTGTTGTACGAGATCTCAAGCTGCATGTAATTAGATTGGGTTTTTTATTTTTATTTTTCACGTTCAATTTAATGCGGGGGATGTATTGATTTTGTGTAATAGTTCATGTATCGTGATGGAGAATGCATGGAATTTATTGTAAGTCATGTTCCTATAAGAAGTAAAATCGAGCTAGTATTGTAGATACACACAGCAGCTATATAGATTGATATGTGTGTATATAGAAAAAATATTGTAGATGAGGTTCCAGATGATTAGATTTGTAGAATGAATTTGTATCCTCTCTTTTGACTGATTAATTCAGTAGCGTTCAAATTGGCCTTTCCGAGAGTACAAGAGGTCGATAATTCTTGAGACCTGTGCGAGTAAACAAAGACTATATGGCTATAGTCATATGAGATCAAGTCAAATGAGACCAAGTTCATTGAATTGGATACAAGAAGCTGTCATGTGTAGCCTCTGGCGATGAAGTTTAACCCACGTTGGGTTTGGACAAAAGATTTTATCTTCAACTGAAGCTCAATGTGGTTCACTTAGTAACAGTATATATATATATATATATATATATCACATTATGAGTAACATTATGGCTCAGCAAGCCAAACAATGATTTGCATCTCCTGTTACATGATTCGCACAAAAATTATGCTCGATTTATTATGCAGTAATTATCCTTCTACAATTGGTGACCGTACTCTCAATATTTGAGAAATTTTGAATGTACTTCCCAGAAAAAAAATTAAGACGGTAAACAAATCCAATCATCAGTAAATCCCACTTAAAAAACGTATATGAAATGCTTGTATAACTACTATTTATGATTGGCCTTGAATGCATGTTATACCTAGTTTATTAGAGTAGGTACCTAGAAATCAGTGTAAATATATGCTTTAACCTTGAGGTGCTCATTGTTACTTGCTACTTTTCTCCAGGTAGTGTTGTGTCACCAGGTAGCTCACACACAGAACTTCCCTGATCAGAATCAAAGTGTGTTTCAAATGACAACATCATAACAACTTGGTCCTATGATTATATGTATATGTACATATATAATGAAGCTTACCTCCCCTATCAGGTGAGCCACACATCTCTTCTCCGCCAACAACTCTGCTTCTGTCTGCAAAATGAGAAGAATGAATAGAGGCAGTGATTCTGAGGAGCCTCGAGGTAAACATAAAACTTTCATTCTACAAATCAGTTTTGCAATCTCAAGTATCTTCAATACCCACCAACTTTAAGCCCAGACTTTGTTTTGATGTAAAAATTATTAGTTATCAAAGGAATGATGAAATAGACGAGCGCAGCGCGCGCACGATTTTCATTTTCATTGATGGATGTATGTGACATAGCAGTAGAATAGAGGCTATTTTACATGTACAAGAAATCAAGAATTGTATACGGCATATCTCTTACTTGAGTTAGTATCTGTAACATGGTTGTTCAAAAAAAGATATAATTGGATACCAATGGTGCAATCTCTCTCTCGCGCCGCGCACTTATATTCTGATATGTAAATAAAATGTGATGCTTACTTTAGCTATTCGTTGTCGGAGGTAGTCGTCAATTATAACATCCTTGACAAGCTCATAATCGCCATATCCCTAGAAAGGATGAAAACAACAACGTCTTGAGGCCAAACATGAGTGATTTCAAAGAATTTAAGAACGAAGAACATGTCAGACACAGACTTACTGTTGATCGACATGGCATACTGAAAACAATATCTTCTGCTATACCATAAGGATTTCCATTGGTATATACCTGATGATGTTGCAGTTGCAAACTGAGTGCTTGAAGCCAGGAGAAGGAAAAAGATAGAGAGAAAGAGAGAACAACATAGAAAACATGTATGTATTTATAAATCAAATCACTCAACGCAATTCTGTGCTTAGATTTGTAATTGCACAACCTTTTCTAGGGCATAAGCTTATAGATAGGACGGAAAAAATCATCTTGACAGCAAAATTTAATTGTTTGTTTTTTTACATTCATCAAGTAACCACAAATTATGCTAATTCTTGGTGTTTGAGCATTTGTGTTTCATGGGTTATTTCTACTGAGTTGTTGGATGCATCTGAAAAAGAAGTTACACACATGATTTCAATTAGTTACTCCCTCTAGTTTCATTTATAAGTTATTTATAACATGTTTTATTAGAATCAAGAAAAAAAACTTAAAACTCATTAACTGTCAAAAAATTTAATAAGTTTTCAACTTTACCTTTATTAAATATAATAGGACGGGAGGGAGTAACTGATACTTACAGCTGAGGAAAACCAATCACCCTCAGGAGTAGGAGTGGTTAAAGACCGAATGGCATCAACTATTGATACAGCAGTTGATGCAGCTGATGATCTCCCCCACTTCTGAATAAGAGCACCGCCTCTCTGCCAACCAATAAATTTTCCTTCCCATAAATGTCCAAACTAGTTTATATATATATATATATATATATGTATATATATGTATATATTCATTCCATCTAGTTATTGATGGTTTATTCTAATTTTACCTTTTGAACCTTTTGAGTGAACTCTTCCTCTAACCACTTGTGATCCTTGATCACATCTTTAACAGGCAAACCATCAATTCTGGCATTTAAGAAGTCAGGGACCTGTTGGAAATTTAGCACCATATCAAGAAAGAGAATCTAGAGATTTCTGTTCAAGTGAAGCACAATTGTTTAAGTAAAAAAAATGACCTGTGTAGTTGAGTGATTCCCCCATATGGTCATATTTGACACTTTATCATAGAACACACCTGCTTTGAGAGCTAGCTGTGAATTATAATTAGACCAATCAATACAGAGAGATTCTTAGCTAATCATGAGTGAAGTTTGTGAACTCTTTACCTGACATTTAGCCCTGTTCTCATCTAAGCGAGTCAGAGCATGAAAATTCTTTGCGGGAATGTTTGGAGCATTCTTCAAGCATATTAATGTACTGCAATTGATTAACACTCGCACATCAGCACTGGTACAACGGCCAGTCTGTGCAGAAGAACACCAAGAAATTTAAAAGATGAATGTAATGTTTGATGTATAGAAAAGTCCTTTCTAGAAAGAAAATGAGAAATGCATCTATTCATTTTCATACATCTCCCAATTCCTTCCTAGAAAACATTTTTCTGTATAACAAACATGCTAGAAGTCTTACTTTGTATTGCAAGGGTTTCCCACAACCATAACTTTGACATTTCTAGATGCCACAGCATTTAGGGCTTTTCCCTTTGGTATGTTTATCATCAGAAAGAGCATGTCAGGGACATTAATGGGGAGACTTATTAGTTCAGAGAAAATAGAGAGAGCAAAGTAGCTGAATTACCTGTTGAGCGAAGATTTTGCCATTAATGTCTAATAAATCTGCACGCTCCATGCCAGGACCTCGAGGCTTGGCACCTATTAACAGAGCCCATTCTGCATCTTGGAACACCTCATAAGGGTCAATCCCAATGCTCACCTCTCTTAGTAAAGGGAACAGTGAGTCCTCCAATTCCATTGCAACTCCTGTATGTGAATTACAGCAACACATTATTTTAAAAATCGGACTAGATGACAAACCGGAGGGGCTAATAGGTTATAGTTCTGATGGTTTAACCAATGACATAATTAAATAAAAAAATAATATTTATGTACATACATATATATATATATATATATAAGAAGTAAAACATTAATTTGACCAAAAAAAAAAAACAATATGTCAAGTTATTAACTTAATAATACCACAAATCCACAATATGTGTTAGTTGCCAACACAATAGCACCATAATATGTAAGATTGAAGGGTTTAGGATTTTTCAGATGTTAATTTTGCCCCTGCTCAAGACCCGCCCAAGTAAACCCTTCTGGATTCCAAGTTAACTTTAGACCTGCTTGGTTCAAAACGATCCAAAACGGCCAATCTCCAAAACAAGTTAAGGAGTCAAAGTGAGTTGCTTTTGCATTCAGGTGGCAGTCTAAACAGTCCAACCATCCAGGTTCGGTCTGGTCTTAGAATGCTGCATGCTTGGTTCAACAAAAAGCATATGAATGGAGCTTACCTTCAAGTGCTTGGAATGACCTCTCAGATCCCAATAGTTTCAGAGCTATAGGTTGATCAGGACCGAAAACCTCCCCAGATGCAAGCTGCCAAACAATAAATCGAGTCATTTCAGTACAATTTTAAATGCTCTGTTCCAGGAGAGAACACAAAGCAAAGAATTCTGAAACAGATTTGATGACATTTTCAGTATCTTTTGTTAGCAAAGATCATAGAAAATTGTACAGTGAATATTCAAACTGTAGATCCAAAAGATCATTGACCTTGAAAAGGAGATGATTTGAGATCATTCCAGCAGCACCAGAGACTGCAACGTTAATTAGTTTCTTCCATGTTCTTGTTTCTTCTTCCTGTCAACATGTAAACTGATAGAATTATTTTATGTATAAGTGAAAAGCTGTAATTTTAGCAAACTTAATAGATTGCTGATAGAGGAGAAGCAGGGGTAAAATTTGTGTATCCACGATTTTTAAAACTAGTATTTTTTTTTTTTGGGGTAAAATGTTAAATGCATCTCTTCTCTGTTTTTAAAATATACATAATATTTTTTTTTTCTTGAAATACAGAGTAAAATACACAAGTTTCTTCTGAATCCTTTTCAAGATGAGGCAAACATATCACTAATTTTAAGTGCTCTGTTCCAGGAGAGAGCATACATGCCAAGTATGAAAGTTTTTATTTTTCTATGCAATCAATAAATACATAATCTATAGGAAGTCGTAATATTTATATATAATGAATAATACATTTCATAGCGATTGTGTGTGTGTATTGATTCGGTAAATATAAAAAAAAAATATAATTCATTTTTTTTACATTTAAGAAAAATTTGTGCATAATTTTTTTTTTTGGGAAAATATCTGCAGAATTCTAATAAAATTGCAAAAGAATACATATAACTTATTTTTTAATCTGAACAAAAATTGAAAAAGAAAATGATTGGTGGAATAGTAACGTAACCAGAAAAACGATCTATTCATGATTCATGACAATAACAACGTTAATGAATGTGCTAATTCCTGAATATCAGATTTCAACTTTCAACAAACAAACAGCATGACGATGCTACAGCAGCATAAAGCCATACAGATATAATAGTATATCCAAGTGTACTGTTAAAAAATATAAAGTATTTTGAACTTTTAAGATGTAATTAATAATTTTAAAAAAAATTCTCAATTTTAGGAGTAATTAATAAATTTTTTAATTGAGACACACTGTTAAAACAAGAATAAGCTTAAAAAGAGCATATAACTTTAGAAATGATTAATAAATTTATTAGGAGCTATAATTTGATTAAAAAAATCTTATAATATTAAATAAGGAGGAAACACAAGAACATGAAGTGGGGAAAGAGAATGAAAGAGAGAAAATGTTGATAATTACAGGCTGGAGAGGATAGGTCAAGCAGAAAACTCCATAGCAATCTTCTGCAATATTATTATTCTTAACACTCTTGTCCCCAATCGGCGCCTGCACTCCACTGATCATATCATCACAGTATCAGTACTTAACATGAGGAAGATGATGATGATGATGATGATGAAGATGAAGATGAAGACGTGAAGGACACATGCATACACACATATACATACCTGGTAGCAATGGAGCAAGAAATGGAGGGGTAGGAGGCATGAGAGAGACGAAGTTGTGGGGATGAAAAACAAGGAGAACGTGGTGGTGATAGAGGAGAGAAACGAGAGGCTGAAGTACTGTAAGAGGACTTCAACTCTGCTACTGCCATGGATTCCTCACCTAGCTTGAAGGAACGTAACAATAATTTGCAGAGACTCAGAGATTTATATGAAGAAGAAGAACAAGTTGGGTTGATTTGAAACACTGTGGTGCCTGTGTGTCTGTACTGTAAGGCTATGGAATTGACACTTGTAAGTCAAACAACTCAACATCATCTTCTCCGGACCCTCACCAATCTTAACTTTGCATATATACCTACGTTAACTTTCCATCTGTGTATTATACTCCCTCTCCTGCTTTACTCCCTCCCTCCCATTTTTTTCCAAAATTAATTTTTTTAATTTTATTAACTATGTGTATAAATTTAACAAGATTTCAATTTTACTCCTATTAAATATACATGCTTTGAAAATAAATAATAATTTAGCAATGACATTTAATAATTGTTCTAGCATTTGATAGATATAAAAAATAAAAATAAATACAATAATCATTGAGCGCACTGTAAATAAAACAAAAATAAATACTCTTTTTATTCTATAAATAGAGTCATGGGAGTATTTATGAAACATGGAGATGGATATATTTTTATTCTATTTATAAATCATGCATGTCATTAAATTGAAGAAAGTAAAGTATGTATATTTAAAATTTAAAATTTATTAAATTTTTAAATGAAATTAATAAGTTTTAAATTTTTTTTAGTTGCAGAGAAACACGTTACTAGTCTTATTTTTTGTCTTATAAATAACAACGAAAGCATTTTTTGTATACACACACGCTTCCAAAATTAATAATTAATTTGCTTATTGCTTGGTTGGTATTTGTGAGATTGACTCTGCCACATTTCTCTTTTCGTTTGGCTGCTATTAATGCTGTTCACATTCCCACGCCACGAATTTATTCTTTACACTGTTAAGCCACTCGTTCCCCCCCCCCCTAATAAAAAACAATCAAGATATTTTTCCCCTTTTTATATTTCTACTTTTCTAGTTTTGAAAAAATTTCTTTGCTCGCACAGCTCAAGGATCTGAATTGTGAGAAACCATTTTAGTAATATATGGAAATTAACATATCAATGCTAAGAATATTTTTGTTGTTTTGTAATGGTCACAGTTATTCTTTTAGTGCTAAGCCACTCGTTTTTTTTTTTTCAAAGCCTGAAACAAATACAGAAAAAGCCACCCAGATATTCCCCTTTTTTCAATGCAAAATAAACACAATACGAAATAAACATACATCAACCAAAAAATGCAATTTCCACATTGGTTGCAGGTTTGTGGCCATAAACCATATAGAAAGTGAGACTTTTTGTTTTACTCCCTCCAATCTAAAATATAAGCTGTTTTTAAAAAGTTCACATATCAATAAAGTTCATATTTTTATAAAAATATACATTAATTTTCTTTTTTATTCTTAATTTCAATAACCAATATACTCTATGATGAATGAGATATACATTTACACAAATATCTAGGTTAATAAATGCAAGAGTAGGTAAAATAGAAAAAAAATTACATTTATTAGATTATTTATATTTTAAACAAAGATTAATTGAAGGAAAATGTTCATAATTTGGATTAGAGAGAGTAATTTTTTTTAACTTTTCAACTTGTTATGGTAATTTTCTATATCAATTTTATAACTGGTGTACAACGTGACTCTCTACTTGAGTTGTGGATGTAAAAAGTGAAATCAATATAAAAAATAAAATTATATTGTATAACAATGTGGTGACAAAATATTGGTAAAAATTCAAAAACTTTTAAATTACAATCTCCCACAAAAGTAAAAAAAGTAACATAAAATTTTCAATTTTGCGAGGAGTTGATCTGCTGGTTTTGAAGATGTGAGATAGAAAATGCATGCAAGTGAAAGTAAGGTTGAGTTTCACCATAACTAATAGTCATATGGGTACAGTGGATCTTCCCCCCCCCCCCAAAAAAAATGATTTAAGAGAGAGAAAATGTTTTAAATTGTGCAATGTAAATCAAGTTTTATTTATTTCCCCGTGTTAACACTATTAATTATATTCTTGTTTAAGAAACATGCTTACGTGAAATTAAAGTAATTTTACTAGCTATAATACTTTTGACTGTTTTAACATCTTGATTGTAACTTCTTAATTTGGTGTTGTACAATGCTTTGATTTAAAGAGTCACGTACTAATGGTTAGAGGCAACAAGCATCATCAAACACATAACCTTTCACTTTTAAAAGAGCTTTCATGCCACCATGCCACCATATCATTGGTAGTATTATGTAATTTAAAGAAGTTTCTTTATTTATGTAGTGCAATGTAATGTAGAAGGAAATACTCCCTCCCTTTTTTTTATATTGGCCTTTTAGGATTCTTGTATATGCTGATTAAGAAATGTAATAAATGTATGATGTACTTTACTAAATATATAAAAATATGTATAATTTATCTTTTTATCTTTAATTATTTATATTGAACTATAATTGAACTTTCAAATATATACTTTGTTTTTGTAACTTTTTATTTTTTTTCTTGCTAAGGGATAAAACTCTTGCGACATGCCTTTATTTTTTTTTTAATTTGAAAAAACTTCAGTTCCAGATTCTATTTAGCATGCATGGATTCCCTTGATGCCACTTGAACAATTAGATGGAGAGAGACAGAGAAAGGGGATTATGGCAAGTCTAAAAAAATCCCTTCTTTTAATTACTTGGATACAGCTTAGCTTGAAAAAAAATAAGAATGACAAATAAATTTTACCCAAATAAATAAATGACAAAAGAGGACCATAAAATGAGCTGATTATTTTGAAGTCTCTAGGGACTTATTTGACATTAATTTTTTTCTCATAAAAGAACCCTAATGTCCCCAAAAATACATGACAATTTCATATTAGTAAATAACTCCTTTCAATAAATAAGTGGCTAAAATAAGGGACTGCTTTCATTTCATAAGTTTCGAATCTTGAAGGCAAATGACAACTTCGTGGTAGCAAATAATCACTTTCATCAAGCGAGTGACTAAAATAGTGGAGGAAATGACTACTTTCATTTCTCAATTTTATTTAGTAAGTGTTGAGAAAAAGAAATAATTATTTTCTAAACTAGTCTAGCGACTCAATTAAACAGTTATTTGTTATTCTGAAGTTATCATTTACATTTGGTGTATTTTGGCCATTTGGTGAAAAATTCAATCTCACATAAGTCTGTTGGGCCTTTAAAAATTAAAATAATTATTTCAACTTGTTGTGCTCTTTTGTCACTTGCTTATTTGAATTGGATTAATTTGCCATTATCCCTGAAAAAATCTCTCCTTTATTTAGAAGATATATAGAGTCTCTTATGTTCAACCTAATCTAACCATGAGTATATCAATACTTTTATTTAGAGACATTTAACAGTTATTTATTAATTGAAAGAAGACCGATTCCACACGGATATCCTTCAGATCCTGGTATTAATAAAAGAACATTCAAGTTCAATTTCAATTTTCATTTTCATCCCTTAGCAGACATCATGTCTGTAGCATATGACCTATACCCCTAATCTACAACACTCATCACTGGCTCCCAAATTCGCCGGCTTCACCAGATAGAAAACACCCAAAAAAACCAAACGTACATGATGTAATTTTCATGTTCGTGTTGTCTCCATCCTAGAATTGACATGCTTTACAATGCTAATCCTTGTACTTTCCGACGATCAACACCATGCTAACATAAATGAGTTATTCATCACACTCACACTTTGCCTCACATCTGCGGATATTTGCAGGGAAAAACAATGTCATCATCGGTGGAGGAAGCTGCTTGGTCTGCCATTGAAGAAGAATCGAGCAAAATTCTTGCTTCAGTTGATGAAAGGAGTGGGTATGATTCAAGAACTGGGATATATCACTCTCTTGCAAAGCTTAGTGCTCAGCATGAAATCCCCTCAAGGCCTGACCTTGACACTGCGACTCTAGTTCTATCACACTTTCCTCATGCATACCAGCTTTCTGCTAAAAAGCCCGCCTTCATTGATTCTTCTACTAATCAAACTATAAGCTATGGTGAACTTAGAAGCTCTACTTACTCCCTTGCTTCGGGTTTATACCATGGTATTGGGATCCGAAAAGGCGATGTGGTGTTTGTTCTGGCACCAAATTCAATTTTGTATCCAACTCTATGCCTTGCCGTGTTATCAATAGGAGCTATTCTTACCACAGCAAATCCTCTTAACACAGCATCAGAAATAGCAAAGCAAGTGAAAGATTCAGGTGCTAAACTGGCCATTTCAGCACCTGAGGAGATGAAGAAGCTTACACCAACTGGGGTTCCTATCATCCTCACTATTCGTTCGTCTGATGGCCTAATGGTGTCAGTTGAAGAGTTAATGGAAGGATGTCTTGATAATAATCCAGAAGATCTGCCTAAAGTTCAATTGGTTCAATCAGATACAGCAGCTATATTGTACTCTTCAGGCACCACTGGGATGAGCAAAGGTGTGGTTTTGACACATGCTAATATCATATCCATCATAAGTTTACTGGTATGGTCTGCAGATGTAACTTCATCCCAAAATGACGTGTTCTTGGGATTCATCCCAATATTTCACATTTATGGGTTGATGTTCTTTGGATTGGGATTGTTGTGTAGGGGTGTTACATCAGTTATAATGCAGAAATTTGACTTCAAAGAAATGCTTTTTGCAATTCACAAGTACAGAGTTAATAACTTACCAGCAGTGCCTCCTGTGATTCTTGCTCTTGTGAAATATGGAAGCAAAGCTGGGGTTGACTTGTCAAGCCTTAAAAGAGTAGGTTCAGGTGCTGCACCTTTGAGTAAGGAACTAACTGGAGAGTTTAGAAAGAGGTTTCCATGGGTTGAGCTAAGGCAAGGCTATGGACTAACAGAAACTTGTGGCGGAGCAACATTTTTTGTGTTTGACAAAGATGCTAAGGATCGCGCCGGCTCGTCCGGTAAGCTACTTCCAACTTTCTGTGCAAAAGTTGTGGACGTCGAAACAAGGAAGGCTTTGCCCCCTGGAAAGGAAGGAGAGTTGTGGCTTAAAAGTCCTTCAATCATGAAAGAATATCTGGGAAATATGGCAGCCACAGCTGCAACACTTGATTCAGAAGGGTGGTTGAAAACTGGTGATCTTGCTTATGTCGATGAGAATGGGTTTGT